TATTTGGGGAGCTTGGGAGTCCCTGATGGGGAAGCTCTGGCTACCAGAAAGAAAGGAGGCTCAGGGAGGGGAGTGTGTGTGTGTGTGAGTTGTTGTCTGGAGGGTCTCTGATAGTCCACCCAGACTAGGAGCACAGCCTAACCTGCTCTTCAACCTTGAGTATTCTACTCCGTGGTCCCTTTGACCTTTGTGCTTCAAAGAGGAAATACTTTTCTGGGAAGCTTGGAGGGAGGTTGGAAGGCGGGGGCCCTGAAATTGGGCGCTGCAGGAGGGGCCGCTCTGGGTTTGCTCCACTCCCACTGTGCAGATGTAGCCCCTCTCCCCGGTAACCTGGAGCTGGCAGGCGCTGAATAGCGACCCGCTGGCTGCAGCCGACCATACCATTCAAACTTTCAACGGGGGAAGGTGTGAGTTTTAGAGCCCTGAGAGTCAGGGAAACCTTCTCCTGGGTGCCATGCAGAGTGTCCTGCCCCTAGAGAAGACTCCAAGGAGACCAGCTGGAGCAAGGCTGTGGAAAGGCTCTGGAGCACCCTGGCTGTCTGTCTGGCTCCCCTCTCCTTCTTCCCAGCCCTGTTGCCATCTCTACCCTCTTGTCTGTCCCCTCCTCCAAGGCAGGACCCAGACTGTTGGAGACAAAGCCAGGTCCACTGGAGAGTGAGGGGAAGGCCTGCTCTGCTGGGCCTGCTGACAGGGGCTCAGATCACAGCAAGACCCAGGGTGGGGCTGGGGTTACAGGCACTGCCCGACGACACGGAGGGCCTCCCTTGGACACCTGACAAGATCTCTCCACTGAGCTCAGGACTGCTGAGAGCTGGCTCTGAGGTCAGTGCTTGCAGGAAAGCAGGAGAAGGCTTGGTGAGAAGAGTGGGGGTTGGGCTATTGCTGGAGTGCGCTCTGGGGAGGATGTGAGGTGTGCTCAGACCTGGGGAACCCAGGAATTCATCTTGTGTAGATAGTGGAAACAAGACCCAGTCAGGGGCACTGACTAACCCTAGGTTACACAGCAGCAGACGCTCCCTGGAGCTCTGTGGGAAGAAAGAAGATTCTACACTGAGTTTGTAGAGATATGTCCAGAGTAGGGTCTGCACAGTGAGCAGGGTGAGAGAGAGCTTCCAGTTTCTAGCCTGGATGTGGGAGAGACCTCTTTTCCCCTAAAGTAGCTGGTGAGCAGGGGTGTCATGAGGGCCCAGGCAGTCGGTCTTGCCACAAGCTCTAGGGAGGAGGCTTGATGTTATCATGCCCTTCAGAACCTCCTGATTTCCCCAGAAACTACTCAGATGCTAATTGTTATTAGCTGTCTTGGAGTCAGCGGGGACTTATGGTGACCCCGTGCACAATGGGACAAAATGCAGCCCAGTCCTAAGCACCCCCATGATTGGCGGAGGATCTGATCATTGACATCCACATCATTTCTACTGGCTGATTTCTCAGAAGGAGATAACCAGGACTTACTTCCTAGTCTCTATTAGTCTGCTGGAAGCAGCAGTCAGGAAATCAAATGACGTATTGCATCAGGCAGATCTGCACACGATCTCTTTAAAGTGTTGAAGAACAAAGATGTCCGTGTGAGGACTAAGGTGCCCCTAAGCCAAGCCATGGTATTTTCAAGACCCTCATATGCATGTCAAAGTTGGACACTGAATAAGGAAGACTGTAGAAGAATTGATGCATTTGAGTTATGGTGTTGGAGAAGAACATCAAAACTACCATGGACTGCCAAAAGAACAAAGAGACCTGTGTTGGAAGAAGTACATCCAGTGTGCTCCTTAGAAACTAGGATGGTCAGACTTTGTCTCTCATACTTCAGATACATTGTCAGGAGGGACCGGTCCTTGGAGAAGGATAGCATGCTTGGTAAAGTGTGGAATCAGCAAAACAGAGAAAGGCCACTAATGAGATAGATTAGCATAGCGGCAGCAGCAATGGGCTCAAGCATAGCAACAGTTGTGAGGTTGGCACAGAACGGGGCAGTGTTTCGTTCTGTTGTGCACAGGGTTACTATGAGTTGGTACTAGATGAACAGCACCTAACAGCAACAATTACTTTGAAAGCTCTACTGAAACCTGGTCAACACCATACAAACATTCATTGACAGACGAGTGGCAGCTGTACCTGAGACGCGCTGGCCAGGAATTGAACCTAGATTCCTGCATAGGAGAGAATTCCACCACTGAACTGTTAGCACTTCTCGACACCATCATCTTTTCTGAAGGTAAAGCCCACATGTCTCTAGATCCATCTGAAAGCCTTGAACTAACATTAGACACAGCAGGATTGAGACCTCTTCCCATTTCAGACTGCTCTTTTCTTGCTCGCAGCCAAACATCGTCCAGGGTAGGGTGGAGGGACAGTCAGTTTTTTCCCTGTGAGAGATGGTCCTGGGCACACCTTGGCTCTCCTCCCTGCTCAGACTCAAGGATGAGCCAGCCTATGCAGTTGCCTGGTCAGAGTGCTCTCTAGGCTCAATGCCCATAGGGCTGAGGCCTGGCCAGCAAGAGGGGCATCAAAGTTTCCAGCTGGAAGCTGGGAGGGAGAGTTTTCCATCTGGAAATGCTGGGAGGGTGGCTGTAGGGAGTGGGTGGGAGGTGGGGTGAGTTTTCTGGATGCCCTCCGTCTGTGGGGCACAGGGTAGGTCTGCAGACAGGCAGGAGGTTGGGCAAAGGGAACCCAGAGCTAAATCCTGTGGCTGCTGGTGAGTGCCTGGGATGGGGGACAGGGGCTTGGGGAGGGTGGGGGGCTAGATGGCCACTCCCCGCTACTTGCTGATAGTTGGTTCTCTATAACCCTACATTCAGAGCCTTCCTCTTGTCAAGCTTTCTGTGCTAGGAAGTTGACTGAGTTAGGCTCACCCTAATCCTACAAAACAGCCATGTCAAAGAGAACTGGCTATGTGTGATTAGAGCCTTTGTGGACTTCTCTGTTTGTAGAAATCAAACATCAGACATGCTGGACCACAAAGTTGCCTTGAACCTGCTGATGTGTTTTGTTTGGCTTGGGCTCAGTTTTAAATAATTTTTTTCAGTTCAAGTTTGTCTGTACTTTGGAAAGTCTTTCCTTATTCCCCCCGCCCCCCCCACCTTTTTTTCTTCTTCTGTTTCTCCCCTCTCTTTACCCACATTTAAATGTTAAGAGTCCTAAAAGAGTTCTAAATTTTTGGCTTTTGTTGAGGAACAGAAGAGCTGACTCCTCTGGGTCTGTGTGGTGGCACAGCCACCATCAGCTGGACCCCAGGCCCCTCCATCTCCTTTGTTGTTGTTGTTGTTAAGTGCCATCGAGTCGGGTCCGACCCATAGCGACCCTGTACAGGGTTTCCGAGGGTGTAAATCTTTACGGGAGTAGAAAGCCTCATCTTTCTCCCGCGGAGCGACTGGTAGTTTCGAACCGCTGACCTTAAGGTTCGCAGCCCGATTAGAGGTACTCATATCTGGGTAGCCAGCACTTTCTAGGGAGCCCCTATCTACCTTTCCTCTTCAGTCACGTTTTATCCACTTTGTATCTGCAAAGTCTGTAGATGATCTTAAATGGCAACAGAAATGCCCAAGGTCAGTTGACTGGTGTCTCTGGGGAGGGTGAGAGTCCTACACTGTCAACTCAGTTGCCTGGAAGAGTTATTTCTCACACGATTCCCAGAGCACCTCAGTGAGTTCATGCAGAGGGTTGGAGGGCCACAGGAATGGAAAGACTGGATCTGGACTTTGTTTGCCCTGATCCATGACAGATGAGCTTGGCCTCCCTGTTTGGGCCTCAGTTTTCTCATCTGACATAGATCCGTTTGGACTGTGTCAGGGAGCACCAACACAAATGCCCAGGGGGCCAGGCAGGTGTCATAGGTGTGAATTGTTCCTCCCATTCCACTCCAGCTGCTGGGTGCTCAGTGCTGAAATCCTGACATTTCAAAATAAGCCAGACAGCTACATATTTATGTGAAATCTCTCTCTCTCTCTTTTAATGTAATTAATTTAAATTCATAGAAACATTGCAAGGACCCAAACAAAAGACATCCTTGGGCCCCCAGTTTGCAGTGCTAACTTTAGGTATTGTCAGGGCCTCTGCCAGGTGCAGCGTCCTATAGGATAACTTGCTCCTGGCTACATGTCTTGATGAAGTCCTGGTGTGGCAGTGTGGGTTAATGCACTTAACTGCAAAGCTGCTTTGAACCACAAGGTTGGCAGTTCAAGCTCACCAGCTGCTCCTCAGAAACCCTATACAGGGTCGCTATGGGTCGGAACTGACTCGAAGGCACTTACAACAACAACAACAACTCATGTATTGCTAAGAGTTGGTCCTAAATTTTAAAATTTCAGGTCTAGGACTCTTATGACAAGGTTCTGTTCTGGTGACTCCCATATAAGCCAGTTCTGAATTAAGTTGAGTACTGCTCCCCTCCCCCCCCCTTGGCACTGTGGGTTAGGCATTGGGCTGCTAACCCCAAGGTTGGTGGTTCAAACCCACACACAGCTCCATGGGAGTTGTTATGATTTAGAATCAATTCCATGGCAGTGGGTTTGGTTTGGGGTTTAGTATCAGTATGTTTCTAAATCTGATCTTTATGTGTCTTTGAGGGTTGGTATGAGGACGATAACATCAGCAAATTCTGTGCTGTAACATTGTAAATAGTACATATTACTAACTAGAAGATGTATACTCACACACACAAAGGGCTGACGTAAATGCTATTCATCATAACTCCAGTATGTTGTAAACTAGGAATTACCTGCATTGTACTTCATGAGTATTGATTACCCTCCTGTCTCTTCCAAGGCAGGAGGGCAATGGGATATAGCAGACAGGACCTAAGTTAAGACTCAGCTCCATCACCTGTCAGCTGTGAGACTTTAGATTTGTTACCTCTCTGGGCCTCACTGTCCAAACCTGTAAAATGGCCATGGTGCTACTTACAGCTAAATTCAGCTCAGCCCCCATCACTGTTCCCTTCCCTCCCTGCCCTGGGTCCAGCTGATCTGACTCTGAACTTCTATCCCATTCCTGTTGCAGAAACCATGAACACAGACGTCCCTAGTTTCACCAGCTCCCAGGCCCCCAACCCTCTCGCTGTCTTCACAGCTCCATCCACTCCAGGGACCCCCGTGGAGGCAGCCGACTTCCTCCCCGTGCTAATTGCCCTGGCCTGCATCTTCCTCCTGCTGACCACTTGTCTGCTGTTCATGACTATTTGCAAGCCCGCCGCGCTGGACCCGAATCGCCGTGGGCACGAGTGCATGCCCCACCATCCGGGGAGCCCCAGCGAGCCTCAGCTCCGCCTCTGGAAACGTCTGGGTTCCCTGCGCTGGTCCTTGCATAGCTTCCGCAGGGGTCGGCCCGCTGCCTCACGACGCCCCCTGCCGGGACGCGAACGCAACAGCGACTGGGACTGCATGGAATCCACGAAGATGTGATGGGGCACAATTCCTTCCCCTAGGTCCCCATAGATCTTCCTTCCTCCCGTCAAAGCTTGGCATCGCCGGCCACGCTTACACCCAGTGGTCCTCTGTGGGCCCAGGCAGGGGGGGTATCTATGGAAGCATTGAAATTGCACCCCTGTCCAAACATCAGACCACCATCTTTTAAACGACTTTACATTTATTGGTCAGTGGTTTGAATCTACCAGCTGCTTCTAGGGAGAAAGCTTAGGCTTTCTGCTTCGGCAAACGATTTCAAACCTCAGAAATCCTATACAGGATCGCTACAAGTTGAAGCCGACTCCAAAGCACTTACCAACATTACTGTTATATCGGCTCAAAAGTACAAGTCAAGCTCATTAATCTTTTACTTAACCCCTGATGGCACGACATGAAAATTACAACAGCACCTCCCTTGCTTTCAGTGATGAAGACTGATCTAGGGTGGGCTCAATGCCAGGTTTTTCAGCTTTCTTCTCTTTCTATATGTTGCAGAGCAAGTCTGCTTCTGTCTTAAGTGCTGTCCAGTCGGTTCCAACTCAGCAATCCTGTATAAAGTTTCCAAGGATTGGCTGGTGGGTTTGAACCACTGTCTTTGAGGTTAGCAGTCCAGTGTTTATCCTACAGAGCCACACCAGGACTCCGTCTTGACCCATGGAAGCTCTCCAACATGAAAGTCTTAGTTTGAACTTGCTGAATGAAGTCTCACAGCTGACTGTATAAACTGTAAAGGTGAACAGAAACTGCTCAGTGGAGCCCCCTTCAAGTGATGCCCAGGGCATGTGCCAAATCTACCATACCTAAGATACACTTCTGCTCTTTCAACACATGGATCCTGGAAGAGGTACCCTGCTTTCTGCAGATCCCTTAGCTAGTTCCTGCTGGAAGACACCTGGAGCCACCTGGGAACTTGACTAGAGACTCCAGGGTTCAGCCAGGGTCCTTTTTGGCAACGAACCATCTCCGGAAGCAGCATCCCAATTTATCAGCCCTCCCAGGGTTGAAACCCAGTTCAAATTCCTATGTGAGCTGGGGAATGAACAAAAGCTCCCTTCGGCCATAAGAAAGCCTGCAACAGGGACAAGGTACTGTCCTGCCACCTGTGCTAACTCAGTGCCCAAGGCAAAAGGGAACTCTGGGACACTTCTCCTTGGACATCTGAGCCCTGCACTCATCTGTCTAGTGCTTTGTGGGAGTGGCTGATGCATTAGGTGGGTCTTGGGAACCCAGGGCCCTGCAACTCCAGGGTGTGTGGGGTGGGTTCTTTGCAAGTCAGCAGACCATCGTGGGGCTGGGTGTCTGTGGGTGCCCTCTCTATAGTATTGCTCCAATACTTGTTCCATAGTGGCAATCATGCTGTGAAAGCAGGGGACCATGGGGGAGGGTGTTGACAATGGATCTGTCTCTGGCCTTGCTTGAGGAGAAGGGTGGCCATCTGTAGGAAGATAGATATGCTGACAACCTGTAGCCATCCAGGTTGTGGATCAGAAGGGTAAAGGAGCTGAGTGAGCTTTGGCTGAAGGCAGGCAGGGTTGGCACTGGGTGGCTCCAGCTATGAAGGGGTCCTCTGGATGGGCTTTGGGCTCACCTTGAATCTCTGTATAAATCAATGACACTGGGTTGCTCTGAGCTTCTGACTGTTTAGCCAGAAGGCCTCTCACTCACTGTCCAACTAGTGCCCTCCATACCCACTCGCTGGTCCTGACTGTCTCTTTGGACCCTCTCTAGCTAGCCAGTGCGTTTCAGCAGACCCAGGGGCACTGTTCTTGAGGCAGAAGAACAGGGACCAACCCTCCAACCTCAGGTGGGGTGGGAAGGACAGCTTCTATCTGGTCATGTGGTTTCCTGAGTCTTACGTGAGTCCCCAGTTCTTAGGTTAAAGTCCCCAATCTTTACTAAGGTCTGTAAGGGTCTGTATAGTCTACCCCTTTATCCCAGCCCTCTACTGACCCCACTATGCTTCCCTAACCCGTCCCATTCTTCCCTACCTTCTACTTACTCTCCGTCTCTCTGTTCAGCTGGAAGTCTCCTTTCTTCCTTATCCTTTAGAGCTCAGTTTAATAGCCCCTTCCTTTAGGAAGCCTTCTGGGACCCCACCCGCCCACCTACTGCACTCCTTTGAAGGACCCTGTGCCCTCTCAGAACAACTTGATGAAAGCCGTTGCCCCCGGAGACCTTAAGGTCTGCATCCCCAGAGCCTGGACCTTAAGGGTATTGGCTGAATGAAGGAACAAATGCTCCAGATAGGAAGTATCTCAGACTGGACCTGCCAGCAGCTCTTGGGAACAGTTGCTTTTCTTGTGGGGACATTTCTAGAAAGCCTCTGTCCAGGCCAGCTCTTCAGTCCCTAAAGCTCCTAGCTGGGGCCAGGCTGTAGGTGCTGGAGGGGGGCAAACAGGAAGCCCTCAACAGTGTCTATAGAATTGTGAGCTTGGCAGCTGTCTCAGGTGGGTCACTTTCAATACACTTCCATCAGCATCAATCAGAGGCCAGGATGGGGCTGTGTCAGAGCGCAGGAGGCCAGGCGCCCAGCTGGAGGTCATGACATGTGGGCTCTGAGGCGGACATGCCATGGCAACCCCAGGACAGCAGGGGACCTCACACCTGAACCACACTAGATGTGCTGCTTCACTAAGAGCCCAAATTCGAGTCTGGGCAGAGGGAGATCTAAGCTATCTAGAAAGTTGACTGGCTCCATCCTGCTAGGATCTCTAGTACAACCAGTCACTCCTCAGCCACAAAACCTTCACTGGCTCCCTACTGCCGACTGGAAACACCTTAGCCTGGTGCTCAACACCCTCTGTGAGCTGGCACCAATCTCCCTTTGACCCCAGACTCCTGGCAAACTGGACTACAGCTCTCCCTGGCAGTGGCTCATGCTCTCTGGCACTGTCCAGACAGTGGACAGGGGTTACTCCCGTTCGCAATCCTGGAGCTCATGGAGACTCCTCATTTGGAGTCACTGGCTTCATATATGGAGTCTGAGGCCTCTGGTTCCAGAGTGGAGGGTGGCCCAACTTGGATGTGTCCCGACCCACAAAGCCCACGGCCAAGGGGGTCTTGGGCCCTTTTCTAACCAATCCTCCCCCCACCGACACCTCTAGAGAGATTTCTCTCTAAGCTTCCCTTCCAGCCCAATCTGACGTCAAAGAGCAAATCCAGCTTTGCAAGAAACCTACAGACAGTCCCAGATTCCTGCCCCTGAGAAACAGGGAGAGTGGGGGCTGCCCTACATTATTCACAGGTGTTACACTGTGGTCTGAGCAGGGTGCACAGAAAAACCGAAGTCCAGTAGTCCCCTCCCAGAGTTCTGTGTTTCCCCTCCTTCCTGCTTGTTAACCTCTTCCTTACATTCCCTAGGGCCTTCCTGACACACATCCCCCTCCCCCTCAGCCCTAGCCCAGGCTGGGAACCAGGTGTTCTATTCCTGGAGGTTGGGGTAGAGGACAAAGACTGCCCAGACGTTTGGAGAAGAAAAAGGCCTGGTTGTACCCCTAGGCTGGGCATCTGCAGAAGACCCCTGGGAGGCAGGTAGCAGACCAGGGGAGTTTGGACACACCAGGCTGAGACCCAGAGGGATGGAACCTTCCTTCCCCCTCCTTTCCCTTTCTCCAACTACAGCCACCGGCTTTGCCACTCCCTAGACTCCCTAGGTTCTTCCCACTTCTGGGAATCAGCACCCTGCTTCCAGCCCCTTCTCATCCCCTCTCCCCGGCCCCTCTGGAGGTTGGTGGGCACACTTCCAGCTTCCCACTCTTTTGTCCTTCCCAAGTCCGGAGCCTGCCCTGGTCCCCGCGGACAGGCCTGGATTTGCTATGCTTGGCTCAGTCTCCCTGTCGGAAACCCCCGCAGCTGGGTGAACAGAGTCATTTATTCCTGGCCTCCCTCCCCAGCCAGTGACCAGGCTTCCAGGACTGGTGGGGGGAGCAACTAGCCTCTCCCCCTTTCTCTCAGGGCCTTTCTTCTTGTGCCTGTTTACTTCCCAAGAGGGGAGCTCAGGCCAAGGGCCCCATGAAAGCCTCTCTGTTCTGGCCTCGCTGGGGCCTGGCTCTCTCTCCTCAACTCCCTTTTGGGAAAACGTGGCATCTTGGTCTCCTCCCTGTGAAAGGCCATTGGGGGTAGTAGTGAGTGGAGGGAGGCCAAGGTGCCTTTGCCTGTCCTTCCAGTTTGGGGGCATCAGGCCTATCCTGGGAGGAAGGGACCTGGGTCTCCACTTCCTTCTGTCCCTCCTGCCATATGCAGTGAGCATGTACAGTTCCTGCCCAGGGCCCCCGGCCACCTGCCTGCACGATGCTGCGGCCCTCAGGGATGTCCTCTGGGATGCTGGCCTCGTAGCTGCTCTGAAGGAAGATGGGCCGGTTGTCGTTGACATCGAGGACAGTGACGAACACTGTGGCTGTACCTGTACGTCTTTTACCGACCGGGCCGTTGTCTGTGGGAAGCAAAGGGGGACCATGCTAGCCACTGCCTGCAGGGCACCCTTCCTGTCCACTTGAGGGCACCAGCCAGAGACATCCCTCCTGTCCTTTGTCCCTTTTCAGATCAGGGTAACTATACTAATAGCTACTGCTTAGGTAACGCCACCTGCCAGGCCCTATCCTCACTCATCCTGTCCCCAAAGTGACTGTCATCATCCCCATTTTACAGACAGGGAAATGGAGGCACTGTCATGGGTGGACCAATGGCCCCCAAAAGATATGTCCACGTCAAATCCTTGCAACTTGTGAACGTGACCTAGTTTGAAAACGGGGTTTTTACAGATGTGTTTGAGGTAAGGGTGCTGGGTGAGTTCATCGTGACTAACTGTCCCTAAAATGACCAGTGTCCTTGTAGAGAAAGGCCGAGGGAAATTTGAGACAGAGAGGAGAGGCCATGTAGAAGGCAGTGGCAGAAACTGGAGTGATACTGCCAACCCAAGAGACACTAGAAGTTGGAAAAACCGAAGAAGGGTTCTCCACAGAGCCTTCAGAGGAGCACGGCCCTGCCAACACCTGACTTTGGAACGTCTGGCTTCCAGACTAGGAGAGTAAATTTCTGTTGTTGGAAACCACGCAGTTTGTGGTAAATTGTTACGGCAGCCCTAGGAAACAAACATAGGCATGAAGGCCACCAAGCGAAATGTTGTCAGGGCCAGGCGGGTTAGGTCATGGGCGGGACAACAGAGGCAGCTGGCTTCTGCTCTAGTCAGAATGTGCGTCAAGAATCACCACGTCTCTGAATTCTCAAGAGAAACTGAATTTCTGAACTTTCAAATAAATAAAATCTGAGTTTTCAATGTTCTCAACTAATTGGAATTACTTAATAAACACTGGGTGAGGCAAAGAGGACTGTCTGCTGGGTAGATCTCATGGCAGGCCCCTACATTCAGCTTCATGGACTCTGCTTGATTTCCAAGCTCAATATTCATGGTCTCTACCCCTCCAGTCCCCAGCAGGATGCTCCCAGGCCAGGCCTGGAGGTGGTGAATTTGGGAGCCTCAGTTCAGTCTCAGGGGAGCGTGTGCCCAGAGCTGTACCTCCCCGGAAGGGCAGCTGCTCAGAAGGACTGGCGGCTGGAGTTGGCTGGGGATCAGGGTTAACTCCATTCTTCTTCCCAGACCAGCTGGCCTCATGCTAGGGGCTTCGTGTACCCTAGGGTAGGGTGTTTCATTCTTCTAAGCTCTGATCCAGGATCACTTCCCATGGTCTACAGGGTCATGTAGCTTGTCCCATTGAAGGCTGAGGTTAAGCCCTCTCCTCCTGCCAAACAAAGTCTAAAACTCTGACGGGAGGAGAGGCTGGACTCCAGAGAGTGGTGGGTGGGCCCAGGATGGAGAAGAGCCGGGGTGTGTGTGGGTGGGCTGGAAAGAGTGAAGCACAGCGAGCTCACCCCATCTCCTCAGGGGACGTCGCTGTACTGGGTGCTCCTGGAAGGACACAGACCTCATCTCCCCTTTGTCCCCTCCAGAGCTCTCCGGGTTGTTCCCTGCTGTCTCCAGCCCAATGCTCAGACATATAGTTTGACTACACCTGACTACAACCTTCCCCGTCCCAATGTGTGTGGTACCATGAACCAGCTGCTGCCCACTCACATCTGCCCTTTCTACCCCTGTGCCTTCTTGTGGTCTGACTGCTGGACCTAAATGCCCTCTCAGGGATGAACACCAGGAGAGACTGGGGCTAACCTGAAGGGTTTGCTGGGGACACAGGGAAAGGGACCGTGCCTTCTTCCCTGCTGCTCTTGAACCCAGATGTAAAGCTGGGGTTGCAGCAGTGATTACCTCTCAGATGAGGCTGAGCCACAGGGGAGACACAACTTTGCTGGCCCCACTTAAGCCTGGAACCTATCAGACCTGGTTTTGTCATACCTGGATGGGTCTTGTGTGCCAACATTGCTAAAGTCAGTTTACTTACTTCTAAATGTTTGTTTGCAACTAAAAATGTCCTCACTGACCCAAAGGCACCCCCAGAAGTCATTTCCTCCAGGAATCCTTTCAGGATTCCTTGTTCCCTCTTCCATGTTCCCATCACCCACTGTGTCCACTACTCGGTGCCCCTTTCACCTTCTTTTGAGTTGGCTGCACAGCTGGCCTCCCACCTGCCTTACTGCATCGTTCCCACCTTACTGCCTCAGTGTATCACTGGGCCTCACAGACAATGGGGTTCTCAGGGAGGTTTGCTGGGCGTCTGGCAGCCCTTTCCCACTGGCTTGAGGATGGAGGTCCGCCTTGACTCAAGGACCCATGAGAGCCCTGCGGGGTGGGTGGGTGGGGCCGGAGCCTACCGATGGCTTCCAGGATGAGTGTGTATGCGGTGGTGGTCTCGCGGTCCAGGCCCACCACTGTTCTCATGACAGCATCACGGTAGCCAACACTGAATTTTCCATCCACGTTTCCACCTGCGGGCAAGACAGAATGAAGGCTCAGGCCTGGAAATGGAGCTCCCAGCCAGGGAAAGCAGGTGATACCCAAACTCTGCTCTGAAATGAGACATTCTGGGGGGTGGTCTAAGAGGAAAAGGCTATGCTGCCCACCCAGTCCTACCCCTGAGCAGAGTTCTGGCCTCTGGGGTCTAAGACCAGAGTGCTAAAATAATAACTATGTCATTATTATTACATTAAATGTGACCCTGAGAACCATTCATTTACTGTCCATAGTGACCTTTGAAGCTGCTACAATTTCCATCTCCACTGTACACAGGGTGAGGCTATGTGCGTTTCACAAGGTGGTACAAATGATTACCGTGCTTGGCAGCTAACCACAAAGTCCACCACAGGTGCCTTAGAAAAAGGCCTGAAAAATCAGCCACTGAAAACCCTACAGAGCCCAGTTCTACTCTGACACACACGCGGTCACCATGAGTCAGAGTTGACTACCAGCATGTGGTAACTGACAAAGTGGGTATAAGACTCAGTGTGGCTGTCTGGGTCTCCAGTCTGTGCTCACTGTTACCTGCCTGCTCTGTAGAAGTGTTGAGGACTTCGTGGTCGGTTAAGGATTTGGACGTCGTCATCTCTGGTGTTGGAAATGGGAGGGGGCTGAGGACCACTACTGTTGAATAGGGAGTGGGGAGACCTCTCAGAGTCAAGAGTAGGGTCAGGTGGGCAGAAGACAGGTGTGACTGAGTCTTCCTGAGTTGGAGGGCAGGTGGGAAGTGTGAGGGTCTATTCCCTGCGGTGAATAAGAACTGGGTCAGGACTAAGATTCTGGGAAGCAGAGGGTGCAACTGAGCTTGATTTGGAGTGAACTGGGCTCAAGACTCCACACTGCCCCATGCAGAAAGTACAAATGATAAAATCTGAGTATCCTGGGACAGGGAGGGCTTTTAGCAGGTCAGCAGGAACCCACTACTTTGGGGTTCTAGGAAGTTGTCCAGCGAGGCACTACTTTGTCCTTAATTGGGTTGCCCCTGGGGAAAGCACTCTGATCCCCAGACCTCCAATGTCTGCCTTCCAGTGTCTGGAACACTTCTGATAAGGAACACATTCTAGCTCCAAAAGTGGGTAGGGGAGGATTCAAGATGCAGAGAATGCTGGCGGCTGAACAAGGTGACTCCTTGCCATGTGTGGGGTCTTTGGTGGCTGAGTCTGGAGGTCTAGGTAGACTGTGAGGATCTGGCTGCACCCCTTCTGGGAGGGGAGAGAGGGGAAGGCTCTGAACAGAGAGGCTCAGAGCTGGGAGGTCACCTTGGCCAGGCAGCGGGCCTGTGGAAGAGGCTGGTGTGTGCACCCACATGTGTACATGATCACAAGTATGAATGCAGCATGAAGGTCATGGTCACAGAGAAGATTTGTTATTGTTGTTGTTGTTTAAATGCCATTGAGTTTGTTCTGACTCAAACTAACCCTGTATATAGGGTTTCCAAGGCGTTAAATCTTCAGGGGAGCAGAAAGCCTCTCCTTTCTCTTGTGGAATAGCTGGTGGGTTTGAACTGCAGCCCTTGTGATTTGCAATATAGAGATTTATTGTTACTGTTGTTAAGTGCTGTGGAGTCAGTTCTGACTCATAGCTACCCTGTATAGGGTTTCTGAGGAGTGGCTGGTGAGTTTGAACCACAAACCTTGCGGTTCAAACCGACCTTGCAGTCCAGTGCTTCTATAGTGCCACACTAGGACTCTATAGAGTGGGTACAATGATCAAGGAAGGGCTGAGCTGTGTGAAAGAACATGCTCCATGTGTCTTAGCACCTCCTAGGTTTGATATGGACTGAAAAATAATGGGAAATTGGTCTAACCCCAAAATGGCACATGTACAAAGCATCTGTCATTGGTTGGTGGTTCAAACTCACCAGTTGTTCTTTGGAAGCCCTATACAGGGTTGATATGAGTCGGAACTGATTTGACAGCACTTAACAACAACAACCCATTTAACAGCAGACAGATGTCACTAACTGATCACAGCTCACTTTTCCCAATCCAGTCAGGGCATAGCTTCCTAATCTTTCTCCGAGTGATAGCTCTCTAGTTGGAAGTTATTCAGTATTTTTAAACTAACCAGTTTCTTTCTGGAATGGTTTAGAAAGATCAAAGCAGAAGGGATTTCTCCGCAAGGAGTAAAGGAGACGGAAAAAGCCACTTCCTCTAGTCATGATCCGTCACCATGAATTGGGATGAGGTGGTAACAGGGCTCAGATGTGCCTCCCTCTATCCCAGTAGTCACTGGCTCCACTTCCCTCCAAACTCAGTAAGCCCTCCCCCTACTCAAGATCAGGGTCCACAGGGGCAGCCCTGCAACCAGGCAAGAATGACCCAGCTGCCAAGCACTTTGAAAAAGCCAAAAGCAAGCCCTCTGGGAGCCCCCACTGGGGTCTCTCCCAGCCTCACTTGGCTGCACCCTCAGTCTGGTTTCACACCTGGAAGCAGGTGAAGGCAGGGGCTCCAGGAGGCCTGGGCTGGGGCGAGCTGACGTCCTTCCAGCAGTACCTGTGATGAAGTAGCTGAGCTCAGCGTTGAGACCCACATCGTTGTCTGTGCAGTTCAGCCAGACCACCCGGAAATCCCGTGGCACATCCTCAGACACGGAGACGTTGTACACGGCTGGGAAGAAGGTGGGAGTCTCGTCGTTCACGTCCAGCACTGTGGGGACAGAGAGGGCACATGGGAACAGGGCTGGCTTCTGCTTTGGAAAACCCAACTCCAAAGGCAGCGGCTCAAGCCAAAGTAGGAAATCAGTTCCCCAGGAAGTCACAGCTTTCAAGGGGAGCATTTGTGTCATCATCTCCTGGCGCTTGCTGGCATCAGAACAGAGCTGGACAGCGCTCCACAAGCCTCCCCATCTCTGTTCTGAAGGCTTGATGTTGCTCAAGAGAAGAGAGTAAACCTCAGTCTCTCTCTAGATAAACCTAACATGGACAATGGGGACGATCAGGGTAATGACAAGGGGCCATTTAGGCCAAGCCCGCACTGAATATTTCCCACGTGGTCCTCATAACATCCTGTGACCGACTGCCGAATTCGGAATGAGTCGATTCCGAATCCCTACAGGGCAGGGTAGAAAGATTCCTTAGTGTTTCTGAGACTATAAATCTTTATGGGAGCAAACAGCCTCATCTTTCTCCCAAGGTGTGTCTTGTTGGTTTGCACCACTGACTTTGCAATTAGCAGCCCAGAATTTAACTCATGGTTCCACCAGGTTTCCTTACATCCTTGTGACGCAGGCATTATTAGACAAACTGCATAGAGGGGAAACATGCTCAGAGCAGTGGAGTGACTTGTCCAGTTACACAGTATGAAAGGGGCCTTGCTGTGGTTTTGCGAAGACCTGGCCCTGTTTGTGGTGGGGTCCCAAGGGAGGGAGATGACTTTGAGGTGTTTTCCTCTCAAAAGGTCTGATTTTCCTCAAAGGTTTATTTTTCCAACTCTTCAAGCCAGGCCCTATTATTCCTGGGGCAGGTGGGGCTCCCAGCACCCCATAGTGAAATGATATGGCTTTTGTTGAGGCCTTGGAGGAAGGGGTTTCTCTCTGGAAGGCATGGACGTCCTTCCTCCCTGTCAATCACTGATGAAGAGAGGGTCCTCCAACTGGTCTTGAACCAGCAGGAGAGAGCATACGGCTGTCTCGAGTCTTCACCTTCTCAGGTCCCCACTCTGAGGAAGGTGCACATTTGTGTCTGTGCTGAGGTACGCCTGCCTCCACATCACATGGAGAGTGGGCCAACATGACCCCGAGGACAGGCCTCATCTCCCCATTAGGCTCTGCAGTGATCTCCAGAATTAAAGACACGTCCAGAGGTGGTGGGAGTCCTGGTGTGGCGCTGTGGGTTAATGCACTGGACTACGGTCAGTTTGAACCACAAGGTCAGCGGTTGAAGCTCACCAACCACTCCTCGGAAACCCTATACAGGGTCGCTAGGAGTTGGAACCAACTCGATGGCACTTAACAACAACAACCAGAGGTGGGGAGAGACACTGCCCCTGCACCTGCCTCTAGACTAGAGGGTGCAAGTGCAGATTATCTGGAGTGCCCCAAGGGATGAGGATTCTCAGGGAGTCCCCTGCTTCTCTGTCTTACTCTGTCATTTGGGAGAGGGTAGCTTCCTTCACCTTCACATCCGCAAAACAAAAGCCCTGGCTTTTCAATGAAGATAAAGCGTTCTTCAAAACCACCTGCCGGTTCTGTTGTCATTGGATCAACAACTCAGTCCCAAAGAGGCCAGCAGGGGTAGAGGACAAGGCCACTGCCCCTGGGCTCTGGGCAATGAAGGCAGCGGCTGGGAGTGGGGAAGGCTCTGCTGGTGCTTTTAATCTGAAGGGGACAGGGAGGCCTCTGCTCCACTGAGTAGCTCCAGGCGGCTGAGGAGAACAACCACTTACACTGTGACCCACATGGACGGTGGCATGGGCACACCACTTCTCCTGGCACACCCTGGGGCCTGTGTCCGTGTGAATACTGGACAAAAGTACCAGGCACCCTCTACCCTACCTGGTCCTGCCCTGGGGTGTGTGTCCATGTGGACAGTGGGCAGCAGTGGTGGCCTGGGCACCCCACTCTCCAGTCACTCAGAAGAAGACCCCGTCCCCTCACCGTGGATGGTGAGCGTGCTGGTGGAGCTCTTGGAGGGTGTACCCGCATCGCTAGCCACCACCCGCAGCTGGTACTTGGCAATCCGCTCACGGTCCAGCTCGGTGGTGGTGATCACCACGCCGCTGCTGCTGTTGATGAGGAAGTCCATGCGCGGCATGCCCACTTGCATGCGGTAGGACACCAGCCCATTCAGGCCCTCATCCAGGTCGATGGCCACCACCTGAGGGGAAGAGGGAGAGGCTGTGTGTGGGGGTGGGGGACTCCAGGACTCCTGCTTCCCCATTAAGAAGTGTCCCCTCCTTGGCTTTGACTCTCCTTGGAGCCTCTGGCCAGATCCTTTCCCAGATGCTTCTGGAAGTGTGGCATGTTGGAGCTGAAGGACGTCTGGATGTCCTTTAGTCCACTTGCTTATGGGGCAGAGTATCTGGCTGGAGGTAGGTGGCCTAGAGAAGGGTTTTTCAGAACAAGAGTCCTAATCTCCACCTCAAAACCCTGCTCTCACTGCCAGGAAGCCCTCCCAGATTTACTTCAGCTGACTCTGGTCCCTTCGAAAGCGCCAATGCTCCTATAATCCTCACCCCCAGCCCTTACCACGCACACTTAGAGTGGCTGTTACAGCTTCCAGACCCTCCGGTGACAGGAGCTCAACTCCACAGAACACTCAGTTAACACTTAGCTTGGATGTCTAAGACAGCAGCAAAAATTAGAGGCTGTCATTAATTATTTTTTAAAAGTTGCTTGAGGATTTCATTAAAAAAAAAAAATCATTTGAGGCCATGTGTAGGTGATTCCCATCCTGAATTTATACACGGTTCCCATTTCTGAAGAGCCCTGACCAGAAACATCCTGATTCAGGACCCTAATATGCTGACTGTTTTGCAGAAGAGGATTCTAGCGATTTGAGAGTACTGTGTAGTAACAACATAGGCTTTTTCAGTTAGGACAGCAAAGACGTTGAGGACAAGCCAACATCCAGGGCATCGAGTCTAATTCCCACTCCACAAGCTTCACAAGAGGGTGCCAACTACCTTTATGAGGATAGGGGCTCACCACCTCTGCCTTATTTGCACACGACCCTGGAGGAAGTTCTTCTGTGCATCCATCAGAAACCTTTTCTGACTGAGGTCTTAGGTCGGACAAAGGGACCTACACAAGGCAGAATGTCTTCCTATATCTGATAACAGTTTCAAAGTCAAGCTTTCCCAACTTCTTCAATCGTCTTCTCATGATTTGGAGTCAGTTGTTCTGTGAACTCACAGGTTGTGTGTGAGCATTCCATTCCTTAGCTGTCTGTGACTCCCTGCACCAGGTTTGGGGGCTCATTTGTTTTCATTTTCACCATTCTTACTCTACTCCTGGTTAGGGATGCTTCCTCAGGGATTGTGTCCCTGGATCACAGCTCACCCTGCTGGGAGCTTGGGGCAAATGCTCTCTGGAAAGGGTGAAGGCTCCCCAGGAAGAGTCAAAGAACACTATTTACAGATGAAGAAACAGAGGCACAGTGGCCTGAAGGGCCTGCCAAGGTGACCCACTCTGGCATCCTAAAAAATAAGCAAGCCTTCCTCAAAAGGCTTTGCCACCCAATCTCCTTTCCTCTCTGGTATAAATCCTCATGAAAAGCACACACGTATAGCTAGCTACTGGGTATTCCCTGCAGCTGAAGTATCCCCTGGGCTTCTGAATGAATTCTTACAACAGCAGATACTGTTATGCCCATTTCACAGATGAGAAAACTGAGGCCTAGAGAGGTTAAGTAGGTTGCTCCAAGTTATACAAGTGGGAGGAGGTGGAGTTGGAATTCACATCCACGTCGATTAGGTTCCGAAGCCCATGTTCTCAACCACAAGAGAGGGTTTACCAGTCTTTCTATGTGGCCCTTTTAGGAGCATCAACTGCCTTTAGGAGTATCAGCTCCCCTGAATCAGCATCTTCAGGATTTCCCTGAATGGAAGGGCGATGGACCAGAAGATGAAGGAGCTAGGTTCAAGATTGGGCTTACCTCTTCTAGCCACAGGGACTTGAGTAAGTTTCTCTGAAGTCTCAAGTAAAATGCGGAGGCTGGCTGTGTGCTGAGGAGTTGGTTTTCTGACTCATAACCACCCTGTCTACGATTTCTAAAGCTGTAAATCTTTACGGGAGCAGAAATCCTCCTTTTTGGTTCTTGGACTACATGTTTCCAACCTTGTGTTCCAGAACACTCTGAGGGTGTGGGTGCTGAGGGTCTTAGAACAGTTCTCCATAATCATGTTCGGAGAATCTCTAGCTTGCCTTCCAATAATTGTCTTGTCTTCCTCCCTTTTACTGTATTTAAATAACCAAGTCCAGCTGCTGTTGGACCAATTTTGACTCATGGGTGGTGACACATGTGTGTCATAGGGTTTCCAAGGGCTGATTTTTCAGAACTAGATCACCAGGTCTTTCTTCTGAAGCACCTCTGGATGGATTCAAACCATCTATCTTTCAGTTAGTAGCCAAGCACTTGAACATTTGCGCCACCCAGGCATTCCTTGTTTCTGCGTTTCCCCATCTCCCTATCCTCCCCTATGGTGCTTCATGTCTCCAGACCCAGCCAACTCCCTCCTCCTCCAGGAAGTCTCCCTGGACTTCCCACCTATTCCCCATCTCTTACAGCACTGGCTCCCCAAGTTGGCATGGAATGAGCCAAAGCTCAGTACAGGGTTTGGCTCACACGGGCATGTGCTGCCCATTTGGTGGCTGGCAGGGATGAGGTGAGAGAGACAGGAGATAGAAACTCACTTGGTAGACGGAGACCCCCGCAGGGGTGCCCTCGAACACCTCAGCCACAAAAGGCAGGTTCTGAAAGGTAGGGTCATTGTCATTGAGGTCCAAGAGGTTCACAAAGACTGTGGCACTGCTGGTGGCTCTCAGAGGGGGGCTGCCACCTAGGGGGCAGGGAGAGAGGGAAGGAGAGGTGCAAAAAAAGGGGGGCAGGAAGAAAGAAGAGTGGTGAGTGCGAGGCAGATTCAGCAACTCTCCATCCCATGCCCCCATCCTGGGCCTCAACTCCCTCCTCCCCTGCCCTGTTCAGAGTGCTCTGGGGGCATCCACAGCCTCCTGGATAGGTTCCAGGACTCCCAAGGGACCCCAGGCCCCCAAGCATCAGGGGCTACAGGGGAGGGACTTGAGGACACGTACAGTCGGTGGCAGAGATGATGATCTTGCGCATCAGCTCTGCCTCGTGTGGGTCGGGGTTCTCCCGGTCCAGCATGATGTGGGTGGTGCGGATCTTGCCTGTGGTACTGTTAAGACTGTAGAACTTATTGGGCGGCTGGATGCTGTATACCAGGGTGCCATTCTCGCCCAGGTCTGGGTCCAGAGCTACCACCTGCCAAGTGGGATGTAGAGGGGGATCAGACTCTCTTCACTGAGGGGGAGAGGAGGGTCTGGCTGGCGGGAGGGGGGGTGACTCTGTGCCCGAGGCCTAGGGTTATCTGAGCTCATGCATTGGGCACTCCACAGTCTCCAGCCCAGGAAGGGAGCCTCTCTCTGGCTCCAGTAGGAGTCTCTGCAGGAGATGAGGTGGGGTGGGGTGGGGATGGGAGGTTCATAAGTTAAATCAGTAGTGGGGGTCTTCCCTCGAGTCCTGGCTTCTTCATCCAGCAATCCTGACCTTAGGCAAGTCCCTATCCCCATGTAAACCTTGAATGCCGTGCGGGGCTATGAAGACATGCGCTGGCGTCCACCAGGCGCGCAGTGATACAGAAATAGCAGCACTCTGCATGCACCGTGTCCATAGCCTTATGGTGGACACCTTTAATCATGACCATGCAGGTTTCAACCACAAGGTCGGCAGTTCTAGCTCATCAGCCACCTTATTCAGGGTCACTATGGATCGGAACTGACTCAATGGCACTTAACAACAACAGCAATAGATGAGATGGGAGTCTTCTCCAAGGTCGGTTTGAACTGCCAGATTGGTGGTTCAAATCCACCAGCTGCTCCTTGGAAACCCTATACAGGGTGCTATGATTCAGAGACTCAAGGCACTTGACAACAACAACATTGAGGAGGTGCAGAGAGGCAGCCTGAGTCATGTGGACAGGAAATGACAGTGTTTCTCTTTTCTTTTTCTGATTAAAAACAAAAAAGCATTGTTATGATTTAGGTAAAAGCTTACATAGCAAATTGGGTTTCCATGTAATAATTCATACCCATTTTGTTCTGTGACTTTGATTGTGACCCTCAAAATGTAATGGTACTCTTCCCACTTCCTTCCTGTGTTTCCTAGTTTCTTTCCTCCTTCTTTCCTATCCTTTCCTACCTTCTGAACTTTGTTGTTGTTGTTGTTAAGTGCCATTGAGTTGATTCCAACTCATAGTGACCCTGGGGTTTCCGAGGAGCAGATGGTGTGTTTGAGTAACCAACTTTGTGGTTAGAAGACCAGTGCTGAGCCTACAGTGTTTACCCCGGGCACATGAGGATCTTTAGATTTTGTATGGTTGGTTGTCCTAAGGAGTCGTACCTCTCCGCTGTTACCGTTCTCTTATTAGGCCTGTCTATTACTTAGTTGAAAGTTGAGCCACAGAAGTGAGTTTCAGTTCCAGGTTTGAGGGGTATGTAAGGGTGGTAGTCTGAGGGGTTCCACCAGTCTTAATTGGACCAATAAGCCTGGTCCTTTTGACTATTTTGTGTTTTGTTCTACATTTTTCTCCCCCTCCATCTGGAGCCTCCTTTCAGAGCAGTCAGCCTCGGTAGCCAGGCATCATCCAGTTCTTCTGGCCTCAGGGTCATGGAAGCAGGAGTTCACTTGGCGCATTAGTCCTCTGGATTAATTGTTTCCTTGCGTCTTTGATTACAGATTTTAAAATACTCTCAAACATAAGTAAATTGCACATGCAGTAGAATACAAACTAGATGACTGCTGCTGCTAGATGCTGTTGACTTGGCTCCAATTCATAGCAACCCTATGCACACCAGAATCAAACACTGCACCATCTCCACAATTGTCGTTACGTGTGAGCCCACTGTTTCTGCCACTGTGTCAATCCATCTTGCCAAGGGTCTTCCTCTTTTTTGCTGACTCTCCACTTTATCAAACATAATGCCCTTCTCCAGGGACTGGTCCCTCCTGACACTATGTCCACAGTACGAGAGACAGAGTCTTGATAGCTTTGCTTTTAAGGAGCACTCTGGCTATACTTCTTCTGAGACAGATTTGTTTATTCTTCTGGCAGTCCATGGTACTTTCAATATTCTTTGCCAACACCATAATTCAAATTCAATTCTTCTATGATCTTCCTCATTCATTGTCAATTTTTACAAGCACATGAGGCAAATGAAAACACCATGGCTTGCGTCAGGTGCAGCTTAGTTCTCTAAGTCACATCTTTTTTTTTTTTTTAAATGCTACATTGTGAATTATGTGATAGTTTACATGGGAGAACATTAGATTTACATTCATCCTATCATATATCTTTTCATTGCCATGGTTACAATCCCCTCCATGCATCATCAACCAACCAAAGGGTATATACACTACAAGCCTGCCTCCCGGTCGTCAGCACACAGCCCTCTCCCTCTCTGTGTCTAAAGTCCCAAGCTGCTCCATCTATCCGTGTCATCGTCTCTGCCTCCATCTCAGACATCACTGCTTCTCTGGGTAGGGTCCCGCTCTCTGCTCTTCTCCCTTGATGGTCCCAGCTTTGTTTTTTGACACTTTAAAGAGACCTTTTGCAGCAGGTTTGCCTAATACAATATGTCATTTGTTTTCTTGACTACGGATTGTAGATCCAAGCAAAACAAAGTCTTGGACAACTTCAATCTTTTCTTCATTTATCATGGTGTTACTAACTGGTCCAATGGAAACTTTTTGTCTTTGAGGTGTAATTCCTACTGAAAGCTATAGTCGTTGATCTTTATCAGTAAGTCTTTCAAGTCCTCTTCACTTCCAGCAAGCAAGGTTGTGTCATCTGCATGTCTCAGAGTGTTAAGGAGTTTTCCTTTAATCCTAATGCCACATTCTTCTTCATAAAATCCAGTTTCTCAGATTATTTGTTCAGTTTATAAGTTAAATAAATACGGTGAAAGGATACAACCCTGGCACACATCTTTCCTGATTTTTGAACTATTCAGCATTCCCCTTTGCTGCTTGAACAACTGCCTCTTGGTCTATGTACAGCTTCCTCATTAGCACAATCAATGATCCTGGAATAGCCATTGTTCATAAGGTCACCCATAGTTTGTTATTGTCCACACAGTTGAATGCCTTTCATAGGCAATAAAGCATAAGTATCCATCTCTCTGGTATCCGTTGCTTTCAGCCAAGATCCATACGACATCATCAATGATAGTCCTCATTCCATGTCCTCTTCTGAACCCGGCTTGAATTTCTGGCTGCTCTCTGATTGTGTAATACTGTTTTTGAATTACCTTCAGTAAAACTTTGCTTGCATGTGACATTAATAATATTGTTAGATGATTTCTGCATTCTTTGGAATGGGTACAAATCTGGATCTCTCCCAACCGATTGGCCAGGTAGCTATTTTCCAAATTTCTTGGCATAGACATGGAAGCGCCTCCACTTGTCTGTCTGTTAGTTTGTTGTACTGTGGCATGTGTGTTGCTGGAAGCTAGAAGCTAGGCCATCAGCATTTTGAATACTAGCAGGGTCACCCACATGGACACGTTTTAGCAGAGCTTCCAGACTAAGACAGACTCGATGACTGGGTCCTTATAAAAATTTAACATTTATGCCCATCAAAAGACTTCACCAAAAGAGTAAGAAGAGAACCTGCAGACTGGGAAAAAATTTTTGGCAACAACACAGCTTTTTAGGTGTCATCTAGTCTCTTCTGACCCTATGCACAACAGAAACACTGCCCAGTTCTGGGTCATCCCCACAATTGAGGCTTGAGCCCATTGCTGCAGTTACAATATTGATCCCTCTTGTTGCGGGGTCTTCCTCTTTTTCACTGACTCTTCACTCAACCAAGCATGATGTCCTTTTCCAGGGACTGGTCCCTCCTGACATGCCCACGTCTCACTATCCTCACTTCTAAGGAGGCATTCTGGCTGTACATTTCTCAAGACAGATTTGTTTTTCTAGCAGCCCGTGGTGCTTTCAATATTCTTTGCCAGCACCGTAATTCAAATGCATCAATTCTTCTATGATCTTCCTTCTTCATTGTCTTTCACATGTATATGAGGTAACTGAAAAATGACTAGTGGTCAGGCTCACTCTAGTCTTCAAAGTGACATTTTTGCTTTTTGATACATTAAAGAAGTCTTTCGTAGATTTGTCCAACATATCTTACAAGGGACTAAATTTAAAAAAAAATTACAGAAAACTTCAACAACTCAGCAACAAAACAGGCAAATCAATATAGAAATGTGGAGAAGACATGAAGAGACACTTCAAAGAGGACACTGATACAGACAATAAACGCAGTAAGAAATCATTAGCTATAAGATGGATGCAAATCAAAACATAAATGAGCTATCATCTCACCCCAGCATTAATAGCAAAGTTCAACGAAAAAACAAAACAAATAAAAAACATGGTATTTTCAATTGACCTTGAGTAACTTAGTTCTTCTTTTGTGATGGGTCTGTGCAAATTTTCTACCTCAGACTTAGTTCTTTTGGGTAGGTAATGTGTTTCTAGAAATATGTCTATTTCTTCTAGGTTTTCAAAGTATTTTCTTATCGTCTTGATTTCAGTGGGTTCTGTTGTGATTGCACTCATTTCATTTGCTTTATTTGCATTTTCTCTTTCTTGTCCTTTGTTAAATTTGCCAGTGGTCTGTTGATGTCAGTAAACCTTTCAAAGTACCAACATCTCAACTTCTGGTCTTCTTCACTGTATCTATTGTTTTTGTTTCATTTATTTCTGCTCAACTCTTTATTATTTTCTTTCTTCTGGGGACTGTTGGCTTTTCTGCTGCTCTTTTTCTGATTGTTGGAGATGCTGGGTTAAGGTACTGATTTTGATTCTTTCTTCTTTAGGATAAGAGCTTTTATTGCTATAAATTGTCCTCTGAATACTGCTTTTGAAAAAATTTTGGTATGCTGTGCTTCCATTCTCATTTGATTCAAGACATTTTTAAATTTTAATTTTTTTCTATTACTCTGGTGGCACTGTGGGTTAGGTGTTGGGCTGTTAGCTGCAAGACTGGCAGTTCAAACCCACTAGTTGCTCTGTGGGAGAAAGATGAAGTTGTCTGCTCTTGTAAACATCTGTCACCTCAGAAACCCTAAAGAGTAGCTCTGTCCTAAAGGTTCACTAGGAGTCAGAATGGACTCAATGGCAGTGGGGTTTTTTGTTTGTTTTGACTTACTATCCAGTAGTTTTTAAGCAGGGTGCTAGTCAGCTGCCAAGTGTTTCAT